TCAAAGTATTTAGATAAATTACTCAAACAAACACTAGTAGACAAGCTGTTCCCTCCAACAAAGGGACTTTTGATTTATTATCTGATCTTTTTCTCCAACGCAGTTTCAGTTGTGCTAGAAAGTGAACAAACCCAGCCAGAAATTTCAGGTTTTTATCGGTTACTTTTTCAGAGATTATAAATAACGTAAAAGCTTTTCCCCCTCATTGTTTTTGCCAAATAGACCCGTTTTCAATTTTCAAATCCTTTCAAAGTCCTCTGCCCCCAATGAGAAGTTTCCATACCCCAGTACTCAGCCTGTATTTCCCCTTTAACATCCATGACGCTTGGAGTTTTATCCTCTCTGATGTTATAGCTGCAAATTCTTCTTGAAAAAAACATCCAGTTTGTAAATTCCTGGACTGCTGAGATCACCATAGAACAGCTCAATGTTGTTATAATTTGTCAATGTGTTGTGTTTTATGCAGTGGAGGCGGGTCCCAGCTCCATAAGCACGTGTGCTGACATACTTGCAATCTCACTGCAGAACGGTGGGGGTGTATCCAGAAAGAGAATTATCCAATGCTTTTGGCAAGGCAAGGCAAGGAAAGTTTATTTGTATAGCACAATTCATACACAAGACAACTTTTGTATGGTATCTTCTTTCCTCTCAAAAATGTCGATCCAAAAGACGCTCTTGGCCCAAAGCTATGTTCCAGATTAGGGATGTAAAAAACTATGAATTTTCAAGACCGACCACCGAGCCTCATTAACCGGTTGAAACCGGTTAACCGCGTAGTTTAAAATAGTCCACGTTCTTTGAAATAACAGCCATTTCGAGCCGCGTACTTTTCATAAGTGCAGCTCTGCGTTCTACTGGATCAGAGTTGAGACAGCGGCGCCCAAACCCGCAACAGCTCCGGCACCTTTGCGCACAGAGAACTGCTTTTTTAATCTTCCCATTCTTCTGTGCTACGGGTTAATACCAAAACTTTCTAGCAGCAAACGACGGCTCGTTCACATGGTCAGAGCAGCGAGTGACGAGCCGCGTCTCACAGGTCTTCACAAAAGTTTAAATACAAGAGATGTGTGTGGAGCTGATCCCGAGGACCATAAACACAAACATGTTCCATGTGGTTTGACTGGAGCCGCGTATTTGCGCGAATCCTTTGGGCTCCGTGACACAGAGGAGCGCGACAGACCGGTATGTGTGTGTGTATGTGTGTGTGTATGTATGTGTGTGTGTGTGTATGTATATGTGTGTGTGTGTAAATGTAAGCTCCAATGTAGTTCTGACCCGCGCCAGTGTGCAACTTTGACTGTAACAGAGGGGAGAGATGATGCGTGTGGATGTTACGTATGGAGAGGGGGAAAGTGTGTGTGTGTGTGTGTGTGTGTGTAAATGTAAGCTCCAATGTAGTTCTGACCCGCGCCAGTGTGCAACTTTGACGGTAACAGAGGGGAGAGATGATGCGTGTGGATGTTACGTATGGAGAGGGGGAGAGATGATGCGTGTGGATGTTACGTATGGAGAGGGGGAAAGTGTGTGTGTGTGTGTGTGTGTGTGTGTGTGTGTGTGTGTGTGTGTGTGTGTGTGTGTGTGTGTGTGTGTGTGTGTGTGTGTGCATATGTGGCTCGTGCGGCGTGAGAGTCGTCCCGGAGTTTATAATACATGGGCGCACACAGCTAGATACAGACCCGCTCGTCACACCGTGCAAATAGGGCTTAAAATAGCGTTATTAAGAGACCTCCCCTCTCCCCTTTTTCTCTTTTTTAACCGACAGCTTTGACCGGTTAACGCTGTGACGGTCAACCACCGGTTAACCGGTCGCAGATTTACATCCCTATTCCAGATGCAGTATATTTTTTTGGACCAGCCTAGTTAAGCCACTGCGGACTTTCGAATGCACATGCTAAATGAATGGGGCTGGTGCCGGTTAACGCATGTGCAATTGCGCTTTTTTTCACATTTTCCTGTGGGAGGGGCTGCCCGCTGCCATTTTGAATAAGTCCCATAGAAGGCAAAAGTAATGGCGCATTAGTTTCAACGGCATACATACGCGTGACTACGTCCCTTATTATTTACAGTCAATTAACTTATATCGTCAATGCTTGTTTCGTTCTTGAGTACATTCTTGTTTTAAGAATGTACTCAAATTAAGATTAATAAAGGATCTCTTAATCTTAAAAAAAACACTTGATTCAAGCAATTATTACCTCATATTCTATCATTTTTTGCAGTGTAGTATTGGGTATCATTAGTGACAAGGAGGTAATGTTAAGCCCTAGAAAATGAAACTGAAACCTATTGAAAGTACAAAAGCCATATTTATATTACCCTCTTTAATAATATGTAGCGTTAACCCCTCCAACCTCCTATCACAAACATAACTTACTATATGCCAATACCGAATGTGTTAGTAAGGTTGAGATTTCCATAGCATCTCTCCTCTGAGCCATTAGACCAATCAAAGTTGGCCTTTTATGAATGTGACAAATCAGCAGCTGAGCCCGAACTGAACCTAACTGAATAGCACCAATTTGCCTTTTTCGCTCTCTCAACCACCATTACATGCAATCACGTAATGCGGAGAGAGCAGGGGAGCAGCGGAAAAATGGGAAAAAATACAAAGAATGGGAGCATAGAGGGCTTGGGAGAAAGGTAGCCGATTATCACTATGGCCTAATCAGGACCCTCTTATATGGGGCTAAAAATATCCTGGAGGGTATATGGTTTCTTGAGGCACTTAAGGCATGAGGTGAAGATGAGGTGGCTTCTTATGGGATAGATAGAGTAAAGCTTAAGAGTAAAGCTTAAGATTAAACCGAAGATATTACAGTCAATGCTGCATATAGTGGGTGGCTCTGTAATCAAATCGAGTGGGGAAGGAGTAGAAGAGGCTAGGGATAACCTTTAATGAACTTGGAGGCACTTAAGGCGATGTTAAAAGATGGGGAATGGGACGAAGAGGAGAGGGAGAAGCAGAGATAGCAGTGTGGGGTTCTGGGACTCGGGGCGACAAAGCTGGACTTCCCCCGGTGCTCAATCTGTGAGCTGGGTGACTGTGTACCACCAGCCATGTTTGGGATGGATTACTTTTAAATGACTGGGAGCCAACCACATGCTCTACAGTATGGTGTGAGGAGGAGAGGTGAGGCGAGCGTAGAGGACGGGCAGGGAAGACTGTATAGTACGCTCGGGAACTGAAATGAATGGAAAAGAGTTCACAGAGTATTTGATTGTGTTGTTGGAATTGTTTAAACTGATCTACAAACACTCTTGCTTGATTTTAATACCAGTTTTCTCTGTTCAAAAAGGAAAAAAATATATATATATGCATTGGTTCCCCGTTTATAGGCGCTTTGTTCTAAAAATAACCTGCAGTAAGAGAAATCACAACTACACGTTTTAAGTCTGTAAAACCCCTTTATAGACTTTTCTAACCACATGAACTCACTGTGACCAAGTGTGAGTTTGTATTTTGCGCAAGGGCAGGATAGTGGGGAAAAGAAAAAATGATAAAATTAAAATAAATACAAATGTCTTTCACTGTATGTATTATGGGAAAAAGTCAACTAATGAAGATGCCACAATAACGTGATAAAAATTAAAATACAAATCAATTTACGAAAAACAAATTTAAAGTTAGTCGTGGCTTACACCAAAGTGAGACAATGCAACCATAAAAAATAAAACACTAAACATATGCACTAAAATAACTGTCATGGATGTCATAGATGACCATGTATAGCAACAGACTTATCATTTAGGACTAATTCATATTTTGTGTTTCAGAGGGCAACTAAAAGCTGCAAAAACTGACTTAACAAAGTCCTTGTGTGGACAGTGAAAAATGAAAGCAGGGGACCAGGAGGACCAGGGCCTCTGTAAGGTATGAAGAGAGGCCATTGAACTGCTGTAATGAACTTAAACGAGCACCAATTACACTAATTGCCTAATATTTCATTTTAAATAACATGTAATTCCGGGAGATAATGGTGAGATAAAACAGGGCTTTGAATTCTGGCAGTGTTTCACCAACTTCACGCTCACAAGGGCTGCTTTTGTAACGGTTCTTTCAAAAGAGTGGTGTACAGGATTAAATTGCATGTCAGTGTTGTTCTTAAGATCGGAATCTGAGCCACGGTCATGTGAATATAACCTTATCCTAAGTAGTATTTAGGGTAGAAAGTTCAGGGATTAAAAAGTACACTATATGCATCATGAATTCAAGTTTCAAATTAAAATAGTAAAAGTCCAAAGAGTAAAATCTCTCTGGTCTTACATATAAATCAGTGCATAAACCCTGTGTTATGTCACTGGAATTAGTTAAACCTACCTATCTTTCACCAGCAACAGAAAGTACATTAAATCAATGCATGTCCATCCATCTTCTTCCCCTTAATCCATTTCTGGGTTAAGTCAGAGCTACACCCAGTTCAGGGGGCTTCAGGCAAAGTGGGGTTAAGTGTGTAGCCCAAGGACACAAAAACAGCAGACATCAGTGGGAGTCAGTGGAGAAGGTCTCATGGGGTGGATCGACCTTCAGGCTCAGAGGCCACAGTCGCCCCATTTAGAATTGTAACTGATTTTTCAAATAGTTGTCAACTAACAAACTATATCAATTCTGTGTTTTATGAAGCTTACATTGACTTGCTAAGAGGTTTAAGACACACAAAATGTTCTAGTGACGGCAGCCTGAAATTAAAATGTGTCTACAAAATGTTTTCAAATCAAACCCAATGTGAAACAAGGCATCTCTTTCAACATTTTCTCCATGGGCCTCATTTGAGCTTTGTTTCAGTCAAATGTCGAAAAAAATCTCTAATTCACTGTTGGGACCTATTGGGATCAAAACAATCGTCAAATCGTCAATCAAAGACGATCGTCATTTCAGTCCGAGTTTCAATCATACCGTTTCAAACTGGGAAAGAGATTGCGAAAAGTCGATTACCCAAGCTCCCACACTTTCAACAACACAATAAAAAAGGAGGAGGATTCCAATCAAAGCCGGCCCTCACCTGAGCAGCCAGTTCTTCTTGCCCTTTTTCTCGGCTTCGTCAGGCTCGTCTGCTTTCTTCTTGTTGGTCGATTTGGTTTTGGGCGGCTTTTCCTTCTTTTTTGGCTTCTCCTTCTTCTTCTTGCCCTTCTTGGATGTGTCCTCTGCCTGGTCCGCTGTCCCGGGTCGAGAGGAGCTGCCCGGACTCTCGCGTCCAGAACTGGGCTCTGATGGGTCGTCTGCATAGAGCAAGCAAATATACCGTCATACAAGAAATAACAAAGATTTGTGTTTCTGAAGGTAAGCAGATTTTAACAAGCGCTCCAAAATAACGAATCAATCAAATTTGGTGGTTGTCAAGCTGAGTACACACACTGACAATATGAAATTAGGCATGAGAATCTAAAAAAGACAGAACAGGAGTGGTGGGATGAATTTTCTTTCACAAAATGTAGACAGCTGCTATTGCATTTTGGTGTGTCGCCAAAAATGTGTTCCCCAGCGAGGACGGTAAATTTGCACTGGTCTTTGTAAGTAAAATAAGAGTGCATTAAAACAAAAAACAAATAATTACCCTGGGGAGCAGAAAAGAATGGCTTTAGCTGGCAACATAAAACTTGTGAGTAGCAGAGGTAAAGGCCACACACTTAAAAACAGATCAGAAATTAGTTTGAATGCTCAAATAAATAAAATGAATCAAGATGTAGTTGTTTTGGTGACCGTCTTCAATTCGATTAATGTGTGTATAGTCCTAAATCACAACAGCCATTGTCTGCTTAGGTCCTGGATCTATAGCCCGTCCGTCCGTGTGGAGCGGATCCCTCTCTCAATATGTGGGTCTCCCTGAGGTTTCTCAAATTTTTTCCCACTGGGTTATTGTGAGTTTTTCCTTGCCGATGCAGGAGGGTCTGTTGGGCAGTTAGTGTCCAACTAGAAGGACTGTGGTGATGATCCAGGACACTAACATTCTACAACATGTATGGATCACCATTCATGGACATTGGTCTCTCCCTATGTACCAATTCATATGTGTATATTTTGTGTCTTAACTGTTGTTTCTCTGATCTGTGTTGGTGATTTCATTGGTTTTGTTAAGTCCTCTGAGATGACTGCTGTTGTGATTTTATACAAGAATAAGTTGTTGTTGTTGTGTATTGACAATTTGTAAAGTCCACCAACAAAACTCCAGAGACTCGAACACTTCTAACACAGGAAATCCAATATTAAACAAAACATAGGTTCCATTGGTCTGAAGGGGACTGTACATAAATGTCAATAAATGTCCTTGAATATCCAGGATCATCTCTATCCTTAGACTGGATAGTGAAGAGTCCGGTTCCACTGAAAGGAGCGACTTAACAACAAAACAAGTTGGAGGAAGCCCATACTTGAGAGAGGGATTTGCGATCACAGATGGACGGGTTCAGGACTGAGGAGAACTTAAAAGGGTCTAATAAAAAGAAAAGTGGATACCCCAATGAAAAATATTAATTGAACCTAATGTGAGCGATTTACAACTGTCATATTGTAATTGCTTGCAGTGACGATGAAATAACCTTTTGCCATCTCAAAGTGGGTAAATGACAGTTACAGTGGAAATATAGAAAACACAAATATGTACAAAAACATTCACTCAAATCTGTGATTTCTTAGCTGAAGTAAAACACATGTAAGTTCATTGTAATATATATTTGTGACAAGATTATCTGTACAGCACAAGAACACTCAAAGTGCTTTACAAACCAGGAAAGCAAACATAAAAATCATATAAGGCAGAGGTCTCCAACCTCTGGCTTTGGCAGCTACCAATTGCTCACCAGCTCCTTTCATTCGTTAAATTCTAAATTCAAAGAATTTTGAATTTAGATAATGAGTCATTAAATATCTATTATAAGTATAAACATAGGGTTATACTGTATTATGGTATACAGTATTTATGTGTCCTCTATCATTTGTCGTAATTTTCACACAGATTTTTTTATGAAAACTGCCAAATGGAGCAGATCTCTGCCTGATCTCATCACTGTGTGGAGAGAATGGAAAAATATTGGAATTCTGAAGATTGTAAGGTGCTTTACCTTGGTCTGTAAAAAAGTGATATAATAAATAGACATTATTTACTAACTGAAGCAAGGAGAAAATAATTTATTGCAGTGACACCATTAGTGATAGATATGGCTTTCACAGTACACTGGAAGTCCCTTAGCAACAAAGATATATTTATACAAAGTTAAGTTGTCAACAGATAAAAACAGAAGAAAATAGATGGATGGAAGTTAACTCAGTTTCGTCGTCACGTTTTCAGTTATGTACGACTGAATGATTTAAAACCTGTTTGAGAAAATGACTTGGTGGATTGCTCAAAGTTGTTAAAACCGAATGAAAGTCACAGTATATTTAACATGACAGATGAGTCCTCTTAGCCTGTGTCTAATTATTGATAAATGGTTTTGTCTTTCCATAAAATGTTCAAAGTCTAAACAGTGACGGCTCATTACTCCTGTGTGACAGCCTATAAAGCCCGGTGTGGAATAACAATGCCATTCACCAAACAAAAGCCACAGCCGCGCGTACAGGCCACTGATCAGATTCATAATAAGATAACAAAAAGCAAATTAGCAACTTCAATTAGCATGTAACACTGTAGATATTCCCGTCAGGCTTAATTACAAAGGCTCTCTCTGCATTTGCTACAGTGTGTGCGGCTGTCAAAGGCTATTAAGACCAGAGAGGCGGACAAATAATGTGTGTTTGATAATGCGGATATTGTGGTGGTATATGATAGAATGGATTAACTGGGGCAACACGAAACAGGGCCTTCTAGAGTGGAGTTTGCATGTGATCCTCGTTCTCCCCCAACCATTCAAAAGATTCATTTATTTGCCATTTGCACTAAAACCACATAGGAATACATTTGCCAAAGTCCCCAGTGTGCACAGAACAAGTACATAAATGCAACAAAACAGGAAACAATTGTCACTGTAAAATCGATAAAACTAAAAAAAATTTAGTACAAAGGCAAGATCATTAAAGTGTTCTGTTTAAAATGATAAAAGCTTGTGGAAAGAAATTATTAGCATATCGAGATCCTACACCTCAGGGAACAATATCTTCTGCCAGAGAGAAGAAGCTGGAACATGGCTTTTCCAGGGGTCAAAGGAGTCATTGATTTTTCTAAGAACTCGGTTTAAAAGCAATTAAATATGAATAAAGGATCGTGGGACGAAAAAAGGAAATCTTATCTTAAAACATGCGCAATAGGTGAATCCTCCAACTGCGGTAGTCCTGACCAAGCCGAGCATCCACATGGGTTACCGGGAGCTGTACCACGGTGACCACTGCTCCTGATAAGACGCCCTAGTGGCATCAGAATGGGTCAAATGCAGAGGATAAATTGCCCTATGGGAATGAATAAAGTGTGCCTTTTACACAAATCAATGAAGGATGGTATCACCCACAAGCGGCAATACACGAGTCAATCCACTAGTGACTTTCCCTGCTATTATTAGGCCCAAGCCCCAAATGGGCGTAGGGCCGATTGCTCTATTTTATAATTTTTTACCATCTCATTACTTACTATTATTTTAATTATGTTATCTATTATCTTCAATAATAGACTCTGATGTGTGAAATCGGAGTGCTCTTATTTCCTTCTTTTACCCTGCTGTAATGTGTGCAACACTGACACTGAAATTTCCCCACTGTGGCACAATAAAGGAATATTTTATCTTGTCCAAGAGTTGTGCTATACATAACATTGATTTACTTTTATATTTTTAAATCGCAAATGTGTACATTTATGTCCTAAAAGTGTTGAAAATTAGCATGGTCTTGCTATAACACTGAAGGAGTGCATTAGGTTTGTCCAATGAAACGGCAGTGCTCTACCAACTGAGCCACTGCTGCCGTGGTCTCCTTGGGCAAGACACTTAATCCCACTTTGCCTGAAGCCCCCACTGAAAGATCAAGGCTCTTGTGGTCTCAGCACCTGCAGGAGGATTCGTGAGGGGCTAGTGCTCTGTGTACTAGGTGCAGCTCTGACTGCCACCCCCCGACCCAGAAATGGATTAAGACGAAGGCAATGGGTGCATGGATGGATGAAATTGTTGTGGCCATGTCAAATAAATAAATATCCATCTATCCATTTTCTTCCCCTCAATCCATTTCTGGGTCGGGGGGGTTGCAATCAGAGCTCACCCGGTTCACAGAGCACCATCCCCATAAATAAATATGTATTTATCTATCTATTGTGCTGTGTGCTCCTCATTCTCACAATTCTGTAACTTGTGATGCAACACTGAACTCTCCCCACAGTCGGATAAATAAAGGATCTCTAATCAGATAAAATAAAGGATCTTTAACAAACACATTTCTTATTCAGCTGCTGGAAAATTTATGTTTTAAGTCTTTTTGTTACTGCCGTGGATTGCCTAAAACAGGAATGTCAAAGTCAAATACATCAGAGGCCGGACTGGTTCAATGTTTATTAAAACATATTAAACTTATACAACCTTTTGAACAAGACATAAGATAGTGGACCATATCTAATTTAATGATTTAATGAATAATTCCTTCCCCTGGACTGCCACCTTAACGTGGTGGGGGAGTTTGAGTACTCGGGTGATCCTGGGAGCTATGCTGTCTGGGGCTTCATGCCCCTGGTAGGGTCTCCCATGGCAGACAGGTCTCGGGTGATGAGTGAGACGAAGAGCAGTCAGAAGCCAACATGGACAGCACGAAGAGAAGAACCGTGACGTCGCCCGGCATGGCGCAGCCGGGGCCCCACCCTGGAGCCAGGCCTGGGGTCGGGGCTCGAATGAGAGTGCCTGGTGGCCGGGCCTTAGTCCATGGGGCCCGGCCGGGCTCAGCCCCGAAGGGTCGACATGGGCAGTCCCTCCTGTGAGCCCACCACCTGCAGAGGGGTCCGTGGTGGCGCGGTGCAGAGAGGACTGCGCAGCAGTCGAAGGCGGAGACCTCGGCGACCCAGTCCACACACCCAACATCTGGCTCTTGGGACGTGGAACGTCACCTCACAGGGGGGAAAGGAACCCGAGCTTGTGGGGGAGGTCGAGCAATACCGACTAGAGATAGTCGGCTTCACCTCCACACACAGCTTGGGCTCTGGAACCCAACTCCTTGAGAGGGGTTGGACGCTCCACTTTTCTGGTGTTTCTCGCGGGGAGAGGCGGCGAGCTGGGGTGGCCATTCTCATTGCCCCCCATCTCAGCCGCCACGCGTGTTGGAGTTCTCCCCGGTGAATGAGAGGGTCGCGTCCCTCCGCCTCCGGGTGGGGGACAAGTCTCTCACTGTTGTGACGGCCTACGGGCCAAACAGCAGTGCTGAGTACCCGGCCTTCTTGGAGTCCTTGGGAGGACTCCAAGAAGGCCGGGGACTCCGTTATTCTCCTGGGGGACTTCAACGCCCATGTGGGAAATGCCAGTGACACTTGGAGAGGGGTGATTGGGAAGAACGGCCCGTCCGGTCTGAATCCGAGCGGTGTTCAGTTGTTGGACTTCTGTGCCAGTCACAGTTTGTCCATCACGAACACCATGTTCGAGCACAAGGGTGTCCACCAGTGCACGTGGCACCAGGACACCCTAGGCCGGAGGTCGATGATTGACTTTGTTGTCGTATCATCTGACCTTTGACCGCGTGTCTCGGACACTCGGGTGAAGAGAGGGGCGGAGCTGTCAACCGATCATCACCTGGTCGTGAGTTGGATCCGCTGGCAGGGGAGGAAGCCGGTCAGACCTGGCAGGCCCAAGCGTATAGTGAGGGTTTGCTGGGAACGTCTCGCTGAGCCCCCTGTCAGACGGACTTTCAACTCACACCTCCGGGAGAGCTTCTACCAGGTCCCGGCGGAGGAGGGGGACATTGAGGCCGAGTGGACCATGTTCTCTTCCTCTATCGCCGATGCGGCGGCTCGTAGCTGTGGTCGCAGGGTCTCTGGTGCTGGTCCCGGCGGCAATCCCCGAACCCGGTGGTGGACACCGGCAGTAAGGGATGCCGTCAGGCTGAAGAAGGAGTCCTATCAAGCAATGATGGCTCATGGGACTCCTGAGGCAGCTGTCCAGTATCGGCAGGCCAAGCGCGCCGCGGCCCGGGCTGTTGCAGAGGCAAAATGAACAGAGCAGAGGTCCCGGAACCCTGGACCAGCTCTATACTCTCCATCGGATACTCGAGGGTTCATGGGAGTTCGCCCAACCTGTCCACATGTGCTTTGTGGATTTGGAGAAGGCGTTCGACCGTGTTCCCCGGGGTGTACTTTGGGGGGTTCTCTGGGAGTACAGGGTCCGGGGTCCTCTGCTGAGGGCCGTCTGGTCCCTGTATGACCGGAGCCAGAGCTGTGTTCGCATTGCCGGAAGTAAGTCAGACCTGTTCCCGGTGCATGTTGGCCTCCGCCAGGGCTGCCCTTTGTCACCGGTTCTGTTCACTGTGTTCATGGACAGAATTTCTAGGCACAGCCAGGGGTCGGAGGGGTCCAGTTCGGGGACCACAGGATTTCATCTCTGCTGTTTGCAGACGATGTTGTCCTGTTGGCTCCAACGAACCAGGACCTGCAACATGCACTGGAGCGGTTTGCAGCCGAGTGTGAAGCGGCTGGGATGAGAATCAGCACCTCCAAATCTGAGGCCATGGTGCTCGACCGGAAAAAGGTGCCTTGCCCTCTTCAGGTGGGGGAGTTCAAGTATCTCGGGGTCTTGTTCACGAGTGAGGGAAGGATGGAGCGTGAGATTGACAGGCGGATCGGTGCAGCGTGCGCAGTGATGCGGTCGCTGTATCAGGCCGTTGTGGTGAAGAGGGAGCTGAGCCGAAAGGCAAAGCTCTCGATTTACCAGTCAATCTTCGTTCCCTCCCTCACCTATGGTCATGAGCTTTGGGTAATGACCAAAAGAACGAGATCGCGGATACACGCGGTCGAAATGAGCTTCCTCCGCAGAGTGGCTGGGCGCTCCCTTAGAGATAGGGTGAGGAGCTCGGTCACACAGGAGGAGCTCGTAGTAGAGCCGCTGCTTCTTCACGTCGAGAGGAACCAGTTGAGGTGGCTCGGGCATCTGTTCCGGATGCCTCCTGGACGCCACCCTGGGGAGGTGTTCCGGGCACGTCCCACCGGGAGGAGGCCCCGGGGAAGACCCAGGGGAAGACCCAGGACACGCTGGAGGGACTATGTCTCTCAACTGGCCTGGGAGCGCCTTGGGGTCCCCCCAGACGAGCTGGAGGAAGTGTGTGTGGCTAGGGAAGTCTGGGCATCTCTGCTTAGACTGCTGCCCCCGCGACCCGGCAACGGATGAAGCGGAAGAAGATGGAATGGAATGGAATGAATAATTCAATATTTTGGCGTTTCCTTTGAAGTAAAAACAAATTTCAACAGCTCGCAGACATGTCCTAACCCAAAGTTGGTTTGTTCTTAAACACAAACAACATGAGCAGACGTCAGCACACAGACGTCTTTTTGAGCGGTAACCAGCAGAGAAAGAAGAAAGCTGGTTATCAACCTCCCCGTCTCCTGCAAGAGGAGGTCCCCTACATGTCACACATGTATCACAGACAGAAAGAAGAGCAGGACCCCAGGGATGTCGTGACTGTCACCAACCCCCAGAATAGGCAGTACACCTCAGACCAGAGGGGGCGGAGTCTGAGGGACCAGGTGGCGTCTCTCAGACACAACCTCCAAGAGGAAAAGCATGAGAAGGATCTGCTGAGGCGCCAACTGACCCAACTGGAGCAGACGATTAAGATCTCAGCAACTGCACAGAGCAGCATGCAGAGTCTAAAGAGACAGAATGAGAGCCTGCATGATAAACTCCTCAGTAACAAGGATATCTTGCAACAGGATCTGAGGTTCGCCAGAGATGATCTAGAGAAGCAGAAGAGAAACAATGAAAGGCTGATGGGTGAAGTGTCCTCTCTGACAACCGCCTTGGAGGAGGAGAAGAGCACTGCCACCAAAGCTGAGAGTAAAGTGCAGATGTTAAATACAGAGAGACAGGAGCTGAACAAAACAGTCTCCGTCTTGACATCTGCTATGAAGGAGGAGAGGAGGAGCTTTGTGGAGTCTCAAAGAAAAGTGAAAAATCTTGAGACACAGACACAGGGGTTGAAAAGTCAGGTCTCATCTCTGACGAGTGCTCTGGAGAAGGACAGGAGGACTCTTGTAGAGACTCAGAGTGAAGTGCAGAGGCTGGAGAAAGAGACACTGGAGCAGAAGACAGAAGTGTCCTCCCTAACTTCTGCTCTGGAAGTGGAGAGGAGCACTGTGTTAGAAGCTCACAGCGAAGGGGACCTGCTGAAGAAGGAGACATTGGAGTTGCAGAAGGAGACACTGGAGCTGAAGAAGGAGACACTGGAGCTGAAGACAGAAGTGTCCTCTCTGTCAACTGATCTGGAGGAGGAGAGGAGCACTCTAATGGAGGCTCAGAAGAACATGGACGTGTTGGAGAAGGAGACGCTGCAGCTGCTGTCTGCTGTGACAAAACTCAGCCTCAGAGTGGCGCAGCAGGAGCAGAGTATTCAGGAGCAACGGGACTTGTCCACGAGTCAACAGCATGAACTCCAAACTGCTGTGGCTAAAGCAGAGAGACTGTCAAACAAGTTCCAGTCTGAGGAGAAGAGGAGGACACTGCTGGAGCAGAGAATAGAGGAGCTTTCTAGGACTCTGACCTCTTCAGAGGAGACCAGCTCCACTCTAAGGCAGGAGAAGAACCAGCTGCAAGAAGCAATGGCCGTGATCGAGCAGCAACGACAGGAGAAGCTCCTCCAAAAGAATAACAGGAGAAGAGGGTGGTTCTTATGTGGCTCTCAAGGAGCTTCCAGCCAATAAGACCACACTAACGCCACTGCCAAACCACAACCTCAAACTCAACCATAACCTCAACCTCAACCAAAACCTCAACCACAACCAAAACCTCAACCTCAACCAAAACCTCAACCAGAACCACAGCCATAACCATAACCAGAAGACTTTACTTAATCAGTTGAATTCATTTGGGCTTCATTCATCACATTATCGTAAGATGATGTGATATTTAATAATGGATTCATCTTTTCCCATCTTTTCCCAGCAGCCTGTGGAGCTGTTGGGGGAAGCCCCCTTTTCATCTCATATGGTTGGATATGATTTTCTGTTTATTTCCAAATAGGAAAATATGTAGATATTTTAATATTTGGTCTAAACTGTGAAGAATCACAAAGAATCATATTTGAGACTAAATGGATTTCATCTCCGCCCAAAGAGCCGTTTCAAGAACAACAGAGTAGATACAGTGGTTTGTGAGTTTGAGTGCAGCAAGAATATGAAAATGTCATTTGACTTGATATTGACATTATGTCTTGAATAAAAATATATAATAATAAAAGTAATGACTATGTTCAGTAGTTATGCCCGAACACATGCTGGGCGTATTGCTTTCCCAATGACGAATGAAAGAAGTCAAGGTGATTGACAGGTATGTCAGTGCCTGTGTTGCCATGGAAACCTATATTGGTATTTGGGAAATTAGTTCATGCAAAATATGTATGTTTTTGTTTTCCTACGAGAATAAAATAACTAAAAATTGACCAAAGAAAATGTCAATTCACATTGCACCTACAGTATGTCAAGTTTGTGGTAGAGCCACACAATTGAGAGACTAGATTGTATCATATACTATATTTTATATTATTAGTATGTATCACACACACATTCATATAATAGATATTTATCTGGATTTAAGTTTGCATTTCTTTCATGAATTCTATAATGTCTACTGTCTGCAACTAAAACACTGAAATGTCCCAGTGTGGGATGAAAAAGATGCTTTCATCTTATCTTAATAAAAGTCATTGGATCATACAAAGGGGTGTGTTAAGCCTTAAAGCTGGGATTCTGAACATTTCAAAATCTTACATAATACCTGTTTTTTGTCCCAACAGAAACAGTCTCGAATAAAAAATCAGACCGCCAAATGTTTTTTGTTTTTCATAATAAAAAGCCCCATCACTTACTAGATGGAATAATTTAGTTAGATACCTCAACTTTAAATAATAGGTTTCATGTGATTTTGAGAAAAATTACAAGCAAAGAAATAATAATCTCAAGCAGGAAGCAGGTCCTTCAGAAAACTTTCACCGTTTATATCTTAGACCAAAAGCCCTGTTCATTAATTCACTAAGGGGAAGAAAATGGATGGATGGATCTCCTACGCAGTGAAAGCAGTGGTAGCACAAACATCTACAACAAACCTCTGTGAAAAAAATCATACTTAAAAAACAACAGAAGTGAATTTAATTGGTGGTATGCTGCTGTGGTCCAAGTAATTGTAGTAAACGTGTGTGGGCAACGATCATGTTGAATATACAGCTTGCTCTTTCAAACTGTAAAAATCCTCCTCACTGCAGTTTCTTCTCAAATCTTCCACTTATCAGCCACTTTTGGACTCACCCTCTTGACTCTTAATTCCCTGAAATCTTAAGTGCTCTTGCAGCTACTCCATCAGCACATACAGTACCAGGCCAAATATCTTTTCAACACCAAACATTTCCAAAAACATAGTGATTCTGGCATTTCTCGCCTTGGCAGAACGTCTGTGAGAGCACGTATGATTCCGGAAGATGATACACATTTGCAAGATGTTCCCAAAGAAACAGAATATGGGCAGAATTCAAAGTGGCTCAACAACTTTCAGTCAATTATCTGAAGGAGAAGTGAAAAAAGTAATCTATTAGAAGACAAAAAAAGTTGGCGTTTGAATGTTGGGTGCATCTGCGGTGAAAGGAAATTGACAATATGATATGTGAGGGATGTGGATCAGTAGTTTGCTCAATACGTTTGCATTGTTTGACCGATCATTGTATATGACTGCACACTAAACTGTACTTCAAGCGGCAATACAATAAATGTATGAACCAAAAATTTTAGTATCTAATAATTATTTAATACTATGTTGCTATACTTATAAGATGTACTCAGAATATTCTCAGCTTTGCTCAAGACCATTTCAAGAACGGACACCTTTAAAAATGGTATTGAACTTTGGGGACACAGTTATATTGTATGCGTGTTGAAGGCTTTGAGGATGGAATCATTAACAGGACAGAGACTATTTAATGGCTAATGGTTGGGGACATAACTAGAATCAATCTCTAATTATAGATTATACAAAAAAATACAAGTTAGTAACTGCAGACAAACTAGGCGTTTTGGATGGAATACATGGCGACCACGTGTTACGTCCAAAACGCTTGGAGCTGTTAATAGTACGAGCGCGAACAAATCTGTGTTTAGGTAGTCCCCCAAATGTAACACATTAGTAAAGTTTACTGTGGAGTGAGCCATAACGATAACAGATAAATTCACCTCTAACATAATGCTGCAGTTGGTCAGCTTTTCCCAAAACGCCTTTTTAGGAGAACTGTTCATAGACAACATACATGCTTGCTCTGAGACTGGCTCCAACGCACGAATGTAAATATGATATTAAAAAGTGTGGAAAGAAGAAAATTTTCTTTCTCCCACTTAATTTATAAGTAATTGTAAATGGAGGATTTTCTACAAAATTCTATGTTGTGAAATTTGAAAATTAATGTTTGATGTGCATTGGATTATAAATAAGGAAACACTCAACTAAACGCAACAAATATATATTATGGATTTCAGTTCAGTTAACTTGTCCAGAGAGAGTCTGCTGCCAGTCTGTAACCTTAACCTGTTCTTGTTTTGACCATATTTCCAGCCAAAGTTAGAGGCCCTTTTAAACAAATTCGGTTTGTATGCTTCAAGTAAATCAGGGGAATGTTATAAAGATACACACGAGGAATACTTTGCATAATGACAGCTTGCCAGGCCAAAAGTGAAGCTCTTAGCATCAGAATTTACACTGTTCCATGCATGGCTTTTCCCTTTATAAAGTGATCTTTGTAAAAATAAAAATAATTATCATATAGCCATTAGGGTCCATTTTGATGCAATTCCCTCTGGTTCTGGGTGCACCTTTAGCTTTGTAGATGTTGTGTTGATTCTTATTCAAATCAAAACAACACGCCTCCCTTCCTCATTGTTGCAAAAAAAAGTAAATGTAAAATCACCACAGTTCAGTTGATGTCCAAATAATTACCAAGACGAAATGTAAAAAAAAAACATCAATAAAGGAAAAATTCAACAACATAGTAAATAATCAAACTGTATCTTTACATCCTAGGATTAGTTGCAACACAACACAGGCCCTTCAAACAACCCGCAGCAAACCTCCACAGGCGCAGAAGTAGTCCGAGCTCTTGATTTAAGAAGCCCTACACGCATTTGTGAGACGCACTCAGAGGCCTTATTCTCAACTGCACCTTAAAAACACTTCACATGCTCCGTGTCCATTACCAGCCGCCGCTCCAGAGCAGCTCTTCAAGGGGGTGACAGACGCGGCGAGCCTGTGTGGCGGTGTTGACACGGCCTATTAGTCCAAAGAAGCGTGATCTGAACAGCCCCACTCATTACCGCCGCGCTGACTGATAAGAGCTAGCTGCTAATAGCACGACTGGGAATTACAGTAGTCGTGAATAAATATTTTAAAGGCCTAACGCACGATGACTTTGACGCATCGCAAGAGGGGGGAGAGCAAACTCGATGCCTAATATGTGTTGACATTTTTAAAACGGCTGCGAAGAGAGAAATTATAGGATCTATTTTTTCAACTAATCAGGAATGACAAAGCAAGAGGCTACGAGCAATGTCAACAAGAAGTGTACGGCAAGGATATTGGCAAGAAAGGCAAAAACACCCAATGCTTAATTAAAAGTCAATATTAGGCTTACTCTGCAACTGGAGTGCTGGGCCGCTATGTTTACCATGAGTAAACATGTCAAGCTATTAGCATTCATATACACTTCATACATTAGCCAGTAAGTGAGCCAATCAGGGACAACAAATTAAGTTTTATCCCCCAATGTTTGAACTGTTGTCTCTCCACATTTACAGCCTTTTGCCAAATTTTACCAAAAGTTATATATCTGTAAAACATTATTTTACCAATATACTTGGTGGGGGAGTGTAAACTAGTCCAGTGGTGAAGATCCAGGACATTTATGGACGTTGGTAATCCGCTCCTATGTGTTTGTTATCATTGCATTTCCTGTGTTTGAACTGCTGGATTCTCTGATCTATTATCGGCGAATCAACAACTGTGTTAAAACCTCCCATATGAATTTGATTGTTTAAAGTGATAGGGTGATGTCAGTAGCATCATTCATTTTTTAAATTAAATTACAATTTGTTAATTCTTGGCTCTATATTATAATGTTAAGTATTTAAAACAAAAAGTAAAGCTCCAGTTTGGCATAAGCATTGCCGTATGATTTGTTTAGCCACATACAGTAGCTAAACCAATTAATAGGAGGCTCATCCCTAAAATCAGGACTATGTATAAAATAGTCATATCCAATCTCGTATATGAATTAGAAAATTAAAAATCAATCAAATTTAATAGGAGTGAAAAAAAAGGAAACCCTTCAATGTATGTACGTCTCTATCATTTCTAATAAGTAATTTCTGATAAATCTATTATTGGTTCTTGTTTAAGCTTTGAGCTTTAAGCTTGAAATAAATCCAATCAATCAATCAATTTTTCCATACCATCGTACTAATTTTGTGACATACTAAGGTCAATGATTGGTCGGAGGGGATTCAACCGAGGCAGCCACATAGAATCAGACCCAGACGTACATGTAGGGAATGATAATGGACCAGTTTATGGATGGCGAAGACCAGACTAGTGCTGGTCCATAGCAATTTAATGTTACCATCATAAATCGATTTATGCAAATATTACATGATTTTTGTCTCAATGTGTACACAGAGAGGGGGCTCATGTATCCTGTTTTGGAGCAACAACACAAAGTCATCCACATGAATGGTGTTAATCAAAGAAGGAACAACAGACTTTTTTAATTGTGTTCAAAGTTTAGAAATCCAACAACCTGAGAGTACACTAGTTTGAAATCTTAATATTTCCCTTTAGTACAGAAACGTTTCTTACCGTCATCCTCCTCTGGCGGCCCATCGTAGGACTTGTCGATGGCAGCTCTGAAGCTCTCGTTGCAGCCTCTTCCTCGGACCATGTTTGCACGAGGCCGATGGAACGGAAGCAGCTCGTTCTTCCTGTTCACCTCCGACATCGCCGTCTGCAAACTCTCCAACGAACTGGACTTCTTCAGACCCAGTGTCGGACCCAGCTCCATGGGAGTCGGGGAAGCTACAAGAGAAAATGTATAAAATGTGTGATTTTGTTTGTGTTTAATTAAGTTTTACATCTTAAATAATACACAGTTACATTGTAGTATAGTGTGTATTGTATTGTATTGTATTGTAATAAATAAATATCTGGGGTACCCAAGTTTTCACATTCATGTGGCAGGGCTATTGCTTAGAAGTATGCAAATTATAACATGTTTTATAAGTAGATTGTAGTTTGATTTGTTCACAACATGAAACTTATAATATATTTTCTGGACACACATGCATTATTCATAGTCCCCCAACTTTAAAGCAAGGTACAATGTACAATACATCCCAAAACACACATACATCTTTAAGGTAAAACATTTTTCAAAAACAGCTCAAACATGTTTTTAACTTTAATTTGCGTAGGGTGCTACTTCACATTTTCTAAAGTTCCACATTCCTCATAATAATGGCTGTATTTGTATTGCACCTTCCAGACACAAATGCAGTTCAAAGTGTTTCACAGCAGCAAAATCCAGACACAACATAACAACAGCTGACATCTCATACAAGTCATTAATAGTCGCACAATAGCAGAACATCCTGAGTGATCCTATTCATGCCAAATGTAAATGTAAATATTTCCATTGTGATATAAATCAAGTTTATTTTATTGGGTTATTTTAAATTAGCTTTTATTCTATGAACCAGTTTTCTCTGTGTTCTTAATAAAGAATGAATTGAATGGAATTGATTTGTGTTTTGGGCGACAGTAGCTCAGTTGGTAGAGCATTGGCCTTCAGGCCTGAAGGTTGTGGGTTCAATTCCCACCTCTACACCTTCTCCACCGACTCCCACTGATGACTGCTGTCGTTGTGTCCTTGGGCAAGACACTTAACCCCACTTTGCCCAAAGCCCCCGCTGAAAGATCAAGGCTCTGCTCACACTCAGAGAGCAGCCGTCCTCCTGTGGACTCACCACCTGCAGAGGATCAGTGAGGGGCTGGTGCTATGAGACTTGGGTGGCATCTCTGATTGCCACCCCCCTGACCCAGAAATGGATTAAAGGGTAGAAAATGGATGGATGGATGGATGATTTGTGTTTTTTGGCTGTAAAGCAAAGGTCCTAGTTTTTTTTTTTCCAGGGAGGAGACATTTTCAAAACAAAACTATGTTAAAGTATGTACAACTCTGGCCAACAGTGGTACTGCAACCACTCCCACTCTTTCTGACTCAGGTTACCAGATATGCAAAAGAATCCAGATGGGATGATAATCCTAGCTGGTTTATTAATAAACTTAGTTTGAATTGATAATTTTGTCAACAACAAATCTATAACCAACACCTGTTTTGTCATTAGTGATTTCAGAATGATAACAAGACCTTTTTTAGTTCTGTGGCCACATGTTACTTTATCAGTGACATTAGCTCAGCGCGGTGAGTTCACAGATCACAGACTTTCTGATTAGTAAAACGATGGAGAGCGGGACATTAAAATGAAAACAAAAACAGTCGGGGGCCATAAAACTAAAAAACTATCTCGGCTGAACTTCTGTTATCAGTTAAAGAAGTAAAAAAGAGCATGGTTTATCAATCCCTTTTGACAGATTAGGGCCATTTAATGAACACTTGAAAATCTTACGTACTGCTACTTAAAGAATTGAAAACTTCCAATTCTAAAAGCATTTAATCATTTGGTGATCATCTACAGGCGGGTTAAACATTGCACAGGGGCGGAGATGAAAAAAACGCCTTATGCCGTTAACCATGGTGTTGCTGAGCGTGTGATGGATGCGAGGTGTGTGTCTCTGCCACAGTATCTCTATCCATCATCTAAAGTACTGTTAGCCCAGGGAAATATTACTGAGGGAGAGGAGGGGGGAGGGTCCAAGAATGATGAGACCACAGCCTGAGATGAGACGCAGAGCTCAGCGGAGGTATTCACCAGAGAAACACTGAGATTCTGTAGGAACTTTTCTGCCGATAAGTCTGGCCTCTAACTATGTGAGAAGTATAGGTCAAGAGAAAAGTAAAATCTGATTGTTAAGAATTCAGCAGCCATGTGGCTGAGTGGATAGAACTCTTGCTTCTCAGCAAGGTGATCCTGGGTTCGATTACAGGTCGGAACAGGGTCTTTCTGGGTGGAGTTTGCATGTTTTCCCTGTGTGTAGGTTTCATCAGCGTGCCCCGGTGTCTCCTACCACTAAAAACATGCACAATAGGTCAAATCCTCCAGTTCCGGACAAAGCAGAGCATCAACATCTGGAGATCGTTCCCGGGCACTGTTGCAACGGCGGCCACTGCTCCCGATGGAAGCCTCAGTGGCATCAGGATGAGTCAAATGCAGAGGAAAAAGTTCCTTACGGGGACAATAAAGTACACATTTACGTTTACATTTAATTACATGTACATATGCTTGTTCGTAAAAAAATTCTTTCATAAAGTTATGGTCAAGGAAATACTCTAACATGCCAGGTATTCCATTCCATTTACATTACATGTACATACAAAGCAGTGGTGGACCACTGCCGCCAACTGAGCCACTGTCGTTATTTATTACAAATTGGATAGTGTTTATTAATGAACCGCGACTGTAAACTAGAATTAGCCTAAGGCTAGTATACATTTGTATTGCCATTGTACACGTATTAAGTGGAAGTGGAAATCAGAGCTTCTGGAGAAGACAATGGGGAGAACATTCAACCTCCACTGAGAAAGATTCAAAAAGGTTCATTTTGTCTGAGTAAAACATAGAAAAAAATCTCTGTTCCAACCAAGAGTCAAACCCTTTACTGTTTGTAACTTTGTATTTTAACTGTCTTTTTTACTTGATGTGTAAGGCGACCTTGAGTGTCTAGAAAGGTGCCTTAGAAATAAAACTACAACCTTGCTGAGCTCTGTGCCACAACGTGTAGCACTCCCAGAAGTTTGAAAGAGGGAAATTTCTGTGTTAACAAATAAATAAATATGCAAACTTTTAAGGAAATCACTTGCTGAAATGCATGCTAACTTATTGAGAGCAGGGGAGCTAATTCCAGGCAAAGCAAAACCATCTGTGGATAAGACACCAGAAAAACGTCATATTTTCTTGTATCTTGGAAGTTGGTTTTCAGCAAAGCTATTTCCCCGTTTCAGCAGGAGACTCCCACATTTGCAGCATTTATTGCTCCCACATAATGACTTAACTATGCTGTATTGTTTCCTGGATTAGTCAGGCCACATCTCACTCCTGCAGTAAGTAGCTGAGCAGCAAAGTTGGCCCAAAGTTCTGCCTGGCACCCTCCTCCTCCTCTGCAACTTCCTCTCTCATTGGTACGAGCTGGTAATTGTTTAGGAAAACAAGTAGATAAAGTAATGTGTGCTTGCAATTTACTCTGTCACCTTAAGCGGGAAGACGACAGCACAGGTGTGGGGTTTTGTCTGGGGAACAGCGTGGTGGCAGAGAGTAATGGGGAGAGGGGAGGAGAGGACTGGGCGGGCTGCCAGCTCAAAACACTGGTAATCCTCAAATACACACACACACACACACACACACACTCCTGAACAAAGTCACACACGCACAGGCATTTTGGATTCCTTCCTGGCTGCGGCTTGTCGATATGATGCCACCGTGATTCATGATAGCTAAAGCTGCATCACTTTAGCTAATGATTCCCAATACTCAGAGCGCGGGCTGCTTGTGTGAGTGCGCGAGATGAGAGAGAGAGGGGGAGAGAAAGGGGAAGACGAGAGGCAGCGAGAGAGGGCTGATGTGACAGGCGCATCTATTTAAAGGGCCATCAGCTAAACACATAAAGTCCCATACATAATGTAGAGCAGCTCGTGTTGACAGGAGAATACAGAACAACCAACAGATTGTTTTCTCGTCGTTTGATACTGAGAGATTGTGTGCAATTTGGTGAACAATCCTTAATACACGCGTTTCTGATGGTACTGCGAGTTAGAAGCTCATTGTGCCAGCACCAAACTGGATAAGTAGAGAGGGAAGGGAGATAATTGAGAGATCCAAACAAGCATTATATTGTTAAGCTTGATATATAGAAGAAGAATGCACATTTTTGAAGTGGTATGAAGGGATTATATACAAAGTGGCAGATAAAGAAAAAAAATAATAAACAAAAATAAACGCAAAATTTACAAAATCCATAAAATGGTCCATGTCTTTCTAGGACTCAAAAAATGCATATATATTCCCTTTCATGTTTTCCACCTAACTAAGACATTTGGTTTATTTAATCTGTATTGCCCCGAATTGACAACTAGTCTTCCTTGTGTCCATCACTAAAATACAATCAGTTATGCAGCCATTAAAAACACACAAAGATTGACAATTGGGAGGACCAATAGTCATAATGATCCAAGTAGAAGTAGAAGTAGAAAATCCTCCTAGATACCATTAAGACGTGTCTTGAATTCTCTGACTTTCTGTACAATCAGATAGTAACCAGTCTCTCATTACCAGGTGAAACATATCTCAGCTATTATCCATCAGTCAGATATGTCAGATATGCCACCCAAGTCACAGAGCACCAGCCCCTCACTGATCCTTCTTCCGGATGGTGAGTCCACAGGAGGATGGCTGCTCTGTCAGGAACAACACAGCCTTCATCTTTCAGCTGGGGCTTCAGGCAAAGTGCCCTAAAACCTCTTTGAAGAGCTTCCAGCTCGTTCGGAATACAGCAGCAAGGATCTTAACAGGTACCAAAAGGAGGGAGCACATAACTCCGGTGTTAAAATCACTCCACTGGCTCCCTGTGGAGTACAGAATAAAGTTTAAAATCTTTCTCTTAACATATAAAGCCATAAATGGCTTGACTCCTTCTTATCTCCAAGACACGTTAGTGTCATATCAACCAAGTCGAGCTTTGCGCTCCCAAAACGCCAGATGTTTGGTGGTTCCTAAGGTCTCAAAAATCACTGTTGGCGGCAGAGCATTTAGCTACCAAGCTCCTTTACTGTGGAATCAGCTTCCCATTTATGTTAAGGAAGCAGATATGGTCTCTACATTCAAGGCCAGGCTTAAAGCACTCTA